CATAGAGCCATCAGAAACAATGAAACACAAAAGAAGGTACGGAAATTGTAAAAGAAAACACAACACATTAAAGTCCATGGTTTCGTCAGAGGGCGAGATATTACCCGGTTGCCCAAGCCGAAGTAGGGTGTTGACTTAGGGGACACCACCCCGAGCCTTTGGCTGAATAGCCTGCCCGCAAGGCAGCGAAGCGAATTCAGGGAATCGCGCCCATTGGGAGCCGGTGACTGATTGCTCAGTTCATACGCTTTTCGTTTGTTCCTTTGTCAAACAGGGGCCCAATGCTCCCCAGAATTACAGCACAAAGTTGCTGGAATACAATGCTTCGCCAGGATGAAGCAAGGGGCAGTGACTTTATTTAGTGGCGAGTCACGTCCGCCACGTCACAGTGTTGTTAAACGGACATATGTGGCTTTTTAATGGGAGAAACCTTGCCAGCCGAAAACCCACCACGTCCTGGAAAGCTGCCGCCGAACCATTTTCTGGAACGGGAAAATCCCGAACAACTCAGCTGACACCACGAGGAGGTTGTTTGGCAATCCAGCCTGCGAGCGCTTTAAGCCTACCATGTAAATTTCATGGATTCAAACTTTACACCATTGCGTGACAAACGCATATGTGCGCATTTTTGTGAGCAGTCACATTGTGGTGGGATTTTCTACTGTTACCAAAGCTGTCCTATACTCCAGACATCATGCACAATCGTCATGTTGCTTCGTAGTATCATCTACTTCCATTCACCTTCCCCGGAATCACGGGCCAATTCATCAGACACCTATGCGCAGGATCTGGTAATAAATTGGGGGCAGCGTAGGGTTTAATCACAAAACGGAAGTTAAGTGACGATCCCGTAATCACCTCAATTCCTATTATTCACTTGCTCCAATACGACTATTTTCGCTTGGGGCCGAAACAGCTACGTTCCCCACACATCAGTGATACACTAAATCCGCCCACTAATTGCACCTCCTCAAACTTCCAATTTCCTTTACAAACGTCCCTGTCGCGGGATATTGTTCTAACGGTTGCCTCTTTCCTTCTGCTCTCTGCCACTGACAACTGTTGTACTGCTGCCCTGTGAGACTGCGACTGTCTGACTGCTCAGTCACGCGCCCAGCCAACCGAAGGAATACAAAAGACCAGAACTCGGTAGACAGAGAGAGAGAGCTAGTATATCTACAGGATGGGTTACTCTATTTGTTGATAACTGAAACATGCTGATTTAGGAGGTCAAGGTCACTCTTCTGCGTATGGTTTTCAGCCAGTATGAGCGAATTCCGCTCCACGGGTTTATCCTATTGTCGGAATCGTTCGTTTCCTTTGACCCGGACTGGTATTTGCTGGCCGACCAATTCTCACTCGATTCCCAAATTCGGCCGCAAGGTCGAAGGTCGCACCATATCTGTGCCGATGACCTTTGTATGTAGCAGACAGCCTACGTGCTCCGCTAATACCTCTGTTAGATGTATGGGTAAGGTGGACTAGTTGCTATTATCTACTAAATGGGAGGGGCGTTTAAATCAACCGTTGCCTTTACGCTGAACATGACTTTTACGTTATCTGCAGTAGATATGACAGTTCCGCAGGAATTTTCGACAATCTCTTTGTCCAAACTAATTTCAATGTCCCCGAGACCGTCTTACTGTTTTCTTCTTTTGAATACTAGGTCGAAAACCGCGCATGTTTCGTGATTTGTTTGTTTTTGGCACGAAATTTCAGACCAATTAAAACCAGTTGTGAATAGAGGTTTTCGTAAAACTTTACTGTGTAGACTGGATACAAATGCTAAGCAAACTGTTTAGCAATATTCGCTAGTCGCACAATTATAGGGGTCCGTTTACTCGAGTGTCACAGTGCACCATTTTACCTTTTGTTTATCCATTTACATAAATTCGTCTTTTCAATGTGGTCATTTTACTGGATAAGGTAAAATACTGAAAATGCAACCACCCGAGTACATAAAGATTGGTTTGACCTGATGGAATAGTACTCCTATGGAATATTACGTAACTCTTGATCGAACACAGGCAACTGGCTGCGTCACATTCCCCAGGGAAGCACACCACTTATTCACTTAATACACAGCTTTTAATATAGATAACGTATGATGTTTACGCATTTCATATTTTGTCGACAACAGAGAACTGAACGATCTATTGAACAAATTTGAAAATGGTTTGAACAAAATCCTCGAAACCAACGAGCTGGTGGCAAGTATGGAGGCAGAACTGACAGCGATGCGACCGAAACTTGAAGTGAAGCAACGAGACACAGAGAAACTGATGCACAAGCTGGGTGAAGATCAAGAACAGGTAATGGTTTATGTTGTGCGTTGACCTTATGCTCATGTGACATTCAACGTCGAAAGGCTTGGCTAAATGAACTAGCGAATGGATTGGTGTATTACCAAAGTGTAATTTTGTGATTGTGTTTAGACATAAGGTGCTCTAACAGTCTGTGGTATTCAAAAGGTCTACAAAATTTTCATGTTAGTAGTGACTACGGTGGCTGCCATCGCAAAATCAACTGGCTTGAACGCCGTTGTTAAACATTGTGCACGGGGGAAACCGGTGTTTATCGGTTGTACATCAACTCTGGTCGTTTTAGCCGACGGCAATCTTCGGACCCGTCTCCCGGACGATTCTGTTCTCAAATTGCGCACATCCTTCGTAAGACTAACTGGCGTGTTCTCTAGTCTATGTCAGACCAATCCCACTCTCAATGAGTGTGGTGTTATCAACTCAACAAATCTCACTCTTTTTACATCCGATGAGAATTTTTGACCAACGTCAACGCATGCATTGGTCTCTGTTAGGTGACTGCTGAATTGGACATCATCCAATAGTGTTTCCGAGTTGAGATTTGTATGTAAGTAGACGATATTTCGTAGGACTGTTCACAGTGTCTTTGGCAACAGCTCATTTGTCAAGAACGAAGTGCACCTGGTCAAGGGTGCGGTCATTGTTACCGTGTGGAGTGGACACTTCGAGAATCCAAGATGCGAATGTCCGCAACTTTTGGGCACATATCATCGGCCGTGTGCATTCGCTTCGACGACCAGCCGTCGCACTCATCATTCAACTCTCCCTTAGAGATTGCTCGGTGCGCGCTGCTTCTGTAGCTATTTTTAACGCACACGCATCTTCGGCTCCTAAGCGTTCTTTTTATCGCAGCACGTTGGTATAGGCAGCTGTTGATCTGTCACTATCTTCGTTTATTGTTTTCAAACAACTGATTCCTTGCGCAGTAGCACCTGCCATTGTCCCGCCACGGCATGACTGTTACCCGCAGTGTAAGTGGTCAGGGACTGACTTATCACTGTCCACCCGTAACTGTGAACTACCGTTCGTAAAGGTGTGAGTGACCTAGGCTCGGTCACGTATTCTGTTTGCCTGTGGAATATCCGCTTCACATGAATTGGCTGACCATACTGCAGATGGTTGAGTGTACTTCGGAGAGTAGTCAGCAGGTGGCACGATGAAATTGCATGACGGACTAGATAGAAGGTCTTGTGTGAGCCGTCACACTTCCACTTCTAGTATGCGAGTCACGGACCAAGCACATCAGTGATTTGATACTCTATGAGACGTGGGATCGTATCGAAGTCACTGGCGTGCTTACATTCTGCCGGATGATTACGATCATTGATACTTCCGTCCACTTACTTTTTTATTCCTGTTTCTTTCCATCTAGTTGCTTCATTTTGTTTCTTCTGTTAATTTAATCTGACGGCGCCAGTTCTAGCCTGCGTAGGGGCAGGGAGACCCTCACCTTTATATATATATATATATATATATATATATATATATATATATATATATATATATATATATATATATAATCGCACTGCCTTCTGGGTCAGGCTAATGAGCCAAAGGCTCCGGCAGGAGTCCCTGAAGCAAACATCCGAAGCATAGTCACCACCACTCCTGCGATTGCCCACCAATGCAATCGATGCCGGCATTCAAAACACTCAGCATCAGGTGCTGGAACCTGCGCACACTACTGGACCGGAACTCGAGTGAGCGCCCCGAGCGACGCACTGCACTGGGCACGATGAAACTGGCACGCTACCACATCGATATTCCGGTATTCAGTGAGACTCGACTCGCTGAACAAGCTAAGTTGCGTGAAGCAGGGCTGGTTACATATTCTACTGGGTGGGCAACCTCACCTCAGCATCACGTAAATATGGGGCCGGATTTGCAATATCCGATCGCCTCATAGGCCAGCTACTGAGTGAACCCACTGGCATCAGCGCTCGACTGATGACTGCTCGCCTACGAGTCGGAAGATGTAAGCTTGCCATTTTTATAAGCACGTACGGTCCGACCATGTGCTATCCTGATGACACGCGTGATCAATTCTACACTGAGCTATCCTCCGTGATGCGGTCTGTGTGGAGGAGCGACCGACTATTTCTGCCGGGTGATTTCAACGTGTGAGTTGCGCGTGATGTATGGGTGTGGACAGATGTCGGTCCGCATGGCTTTGGTTCAGCGAATGCGAACGGTGACAGGCTGCGCTCACTGTGTGCCACTCACGGCCTGACGATCAGGAACACTCGGTTTGCACTGAGTGCGAATGATGTAACAACCTGGACGCACCCACGGAGTGGTCACACTCACCTACTCGACTATGTCATCGCACGTCAGCGTGATATGCGTGAAGTGCGCATGACACGTGTACTGCGTGGTGCTGAGTATGGCACTGATCACAAATGGGTTTAGACCAAATTATACATACATCTTCGTTAATCTATATATTGCACGCCCACCGTGAACCGGCGTAATTTAACATTCTCTCCCTCGGTACTGTGACGAAACGTATTGAGCTGGAGAAGGCAGTGGCTACACGCCTGTGTGATGTGGAATGTATAGCTACAGTGGGCGACCTGTGGCACTACATTCGCGACCAGGTGACAGCTGTTGCCGAGGAGACCATCGGGCGCACAAACTCTAAACGGCCTGATTGGTTTGATGAGAACAATGCGACTATTGGTGCATTGGTGTTCGAGAAGAATGCAGCATTTGCTGCACCTGTGGCAGACGCCAGCGACTTTGTGAAGAAGAGTCAGTGTCGTAAACTTCGACGGCGACTGAATCGAGAACTCCGTCGCATTAAAAATGCATGTTGGACGGAGAAGGCGAAGCGGATGTAATTCTACGCCGAACACTGCCAACAAAATGCATTCCTTGGATACTTGAAGGCGGCGTATGGACCAAGCTTGGAGCCGGCGAGTACGCTGATCGATGGTAGCTCAGGCGCTACCTGCACACAGACTGCAGACATAATACAGATCTGTCAAAATCAATTTGTCTGTCTCTTGAACAACCGTTCATAGATCGACTGGTCTACTTTGAACGGCCTGAAGAAGCACGATGTGAAGGCGCGTCTGTCGGACATGCCGACACTGGATGAGACGCGGAGAGCACTTGCTCAGCTGCGAAACGGCAAGTGTGCCGGTGCCGACGTGATCCCGCCTAAAGTATTAAAACACGGTGGACCTGCGTCGGTAAATGCGCTACACTACTTGGTGCAACGCGTATGGATTGAGGAGAAGGTGCCTTCTGAGATGAAGGATGCCCTTTTACTACCACTGTACAAGGACAAAGGGAGCAAGCAAGGTTGCACGAATTACCGTGGCATCAACTTGCTGAGTCGTGTTGGCAAGATGATTGCCCAAATCCTGCGCAACCGCCAGGTCACAACGAAACTGGACCTTAACGTGGTGCGACGGTTTGCGTACCTTCTTGATCCATTGATCTATACTGGGTGATAACTCCGAGCACCTTGAGAGCCACTCCTACAAGGTTGGTCAGTGGTGAGATGTCAGACAAACTCAGTCTCCTGGTCCTCCAGGTTAGGGGTTTGAAATGGGATGGCGTCCATTTCTGTAAAACAAAATCATTGCCACCTCCCCGCTGCCTTGCGGACAGGCTTTTGAGCGAAAGGCTTTGGATGAGGACCCTAATCGTCCTCCTGTCTATGTCTGGGCGCCCTGGCAGTATCTCAGCCAACATACAACCATGACATTTTCTTCAAACATAAACTTCATCCTGCATCAGCCGCCGCGCAGATTATCAAGGGTCGCCTTATCTGCTGCATACGGCAGGTCGGATAAGCGAAAACATGCTGCTGCTGGCGCCTCCCTTCTTTCTTTTCCACCTTTTTATCTTACTCCTATCCCGATCCCCATTACTAACCTTCCTACTATAATTCCCAGCTTAATTGACAGCAACAGAAGTGCCACTGGAGTAGAACCATCTGTAGCCTCAATCCCTCCGCACCTATCGGACGCCTATCGGCAAAAGTCTCTTATAAGGCTACGCTATTCTGTTTCCATGGTTACATTCAACGTTCGCACTCTAAGACAAACAGGTCAATAGGCTGCACTCGCACGCACGTTGGACACACTGGATATTGATGTGTGTTGTGTGTCCGAAACTAGGCTCAATGACCCTCATGGGGTTATTGAATTAACTGCACTCGGCTTATCCTCTCGTTATTGGTTGCACGCATCCGGAGACGCCGATGCAGCATTCACGGGTCAAGCTGGTGTAGTTATCATTCTAAGCTCCAAGGCTTAGCCATCGTTGGTTGATTGGATTCCAGTGAACAGCCGTTTATGTGCAGCCCGTTTGACGACATCAGCTAACGTGAATTCACAAAGTAGTGCAAAACGCTGTTTGTTTGTGATTTCCGCTTATGCTCCCACCGACTGCACTTCTAATGCTGTCAAGGACACATTCTATCACGAACTGAACGCGCTACTATGCAGTGCAACTAGTTCAGATATTATAATACTTGCAAGGGATATGAACACACAAGTAGGGCGTCTGAGCTCTTCAGAAGCTCATCTGGGTGGTATGTATGGACTTAACGCCGAACGGACTGACAACGGCGAGCGTCTGCTGCAACTGTGTGCGGATCACCAGTTATTTCTTAGTAGCACTGCTTTTAGACACAGTGGGCGGCGAAGTTCCACTTGGCGTCCTCCTGTAGATGGGCAGCGATGAGCCCAAATTGACCACATAGCCATAAGTTACAGGTAGCTTGGTTCCATGCTGGATTGCCGCTCATACTGGAGTACCTGTGTCGATTCTGATCATGCCTTGGTACGCTGTTGTTTCTCCATGAACTTTACCGGAAGGCGCACCAAGTTTCCCCTGCGATTGGCAACGGAGAAATTGATTCAGTCCTCGGTCACGCAAGCCTATCAAGAAACACTGTATACCGAACTTCCGCTGTCCTGTCCTAATGACACTGAGCTTCAGTCGAATAGGAGCTCGGCCGCCATGCACGACGCAGG